TTCCCTCCAGCCCATTTGGGCCAGACTAGCTGCAAACGGGTCCAGAGCTCAGTGATGGGCTGGGTCTGCCTTTGAGAAATGTGCCCCATGGCTGGTGATGGGGCAGTAGATGGGGAGGGCTCTGAGCTATAGAGAGTTCTTTTCCACATGTCTCGGTGTTGCGTGTTGCCAAAATGCTCCGTATTCAACTGACCACCATATTTGGGGTGGGGAAGGAATTTTCCCCCCCGTCAGATGGACAGAGAGCCTTTGGGTTTTTTTCTGCCTTCCTCTGCAGCGTGGGGCATGGGGCAGTGGCAGATTTAAACTAGTGACAATAGTGGATTCTCTGTAACTTGTGCAGCGTGGCAGTTATCCTGTACCTGGGATAAAAGGAGTTAAAAGGTGAAAAGCAGCTGAGGTCGGCTGATTGGGGAGGCAGCCACAGCGGGGTCCACTCCCAAGTAGGCCACAGCTGGCCCTGGGAGCACAGGGTACCTCGGACAGAGCAGTGCTGGGGAAGGGCAGGCAGAGTTGGGGAGCTCTGGCCTGGCAAGTCCCAGGCTGAGGCCTTGCAAAGGGCCAGGGATGGTACTAGGGCTGCAGGGAGACAGCTGGGATAGAAAGGCAGCAGGTCCAACCCCTTTACCAATGATGAGTGGACATTGTGGACTGCAGGCTACCCCAGAGTAATGGGGCTAGATGATGACTGGCAGTAGCCACTGAGGCAAGGTGGGTATACAGGGTTGGGGTTCCCCTGGGAGGGGAGACCCAGAGTGTGGGGGTACTGCTGTGGGCAGAACCTCAAAGTAAGAGGCACCGGGGTCCAGGAGGGACAAGGGGGACTGAGGCAGGAGAGACACTAGCCAGCAGGAGGTGCTTTGGAGCTGAAGAGCTAATTCCCAGGATGACCAGCAGGAGGTGCTGCACCGGTGAGTGCTCAACCTGTTTCATTTGAAGTCTTTAAATCATGATGTGAGGACTTCAGGAACTCGGCCAGAGGTTAGGGGTTAATTGCAGGAGTGGGTGGGCGAGATTCTGTGGCCTGCAATGTACAGAAGGTCAGACTGGATGAGTTTGATAGTTGCTTCTGGCCTTAAAGTCTTTGAGACATTCTTACTTTACAGTAATTGTAATGGCAAGGCAGGCTTTTGGTAGAAATAAAGGTTTGAATTAATCCATCTGATTGTCTTGGACCCCAGGTGCAGGGCATTCTCACCCAACAATTAAATAGAAGCATCATCTAAGTGTGACCCAATTGACCAACACCATTCTCTTCCCACAGGCTCAGTGGCTCATCCCAATTACCATTCCTAGATCCATTTTAGGTACCTTTGAACTTCTCCAGAGTCTCTGATAGCACAATAGTTTTCTAGGAGAAATCACTGACTCGCTCTTCCAGTTCAGGAGAAATCTCTTCTGGCTGCTCAAACTTCCTTTTCTCACACCTAGAGAGAAACAATTTCACGTGATTATATTTCATTGAGTGACTCATTATAAAT